ATATATATCTGAGTTGACCTAAATTTATGCTTTTATTACCACCAACCATGTAATCTCTATCTTTCTTTTTACTCTATTTTGTAATGTGTACGAATATAAGATAAAAATATTGGTAATTTTTCTCAAACTGCATTTCTTCCATTAACATTTTGAAACGCACTTTTGTCTACTTTTGGTTCCATTTCAACGAATTTGAGTTAAAATGACGCAATTTTGTCCTGTTGGGAAGCTCGTGTCTTCATATCATCACTTTTCGAAATTGATTCTCATTTCACTATGTCCTTTTAAACCTTCTGTGATTAGTATTATACATGTATCGACATCTATCTCATGTCCAATAACGCGCTTGTTAAAATTTTAATAAATCATATTTAAACATCCTTAAAAGAAAAAAAGTACAATTATGGGTGTATAGCTGATCTTATCAGGAAGATCAATATTTTAGTTTAGACACTATTTTTATCCAATATTTTAACAATGTCATGTTTAAAATGACATGAAAACGTATTGATGTTATAATAATGCAAGTCATTACCCCCTCCCCCTCCCCATTATATCTTGTATGCAACACAGAAATACATTTTCTATATATACATGTAGGCCTGCATTCTACTTGAATGGTAGCCTGTATGTGCCATGATGCAGGAAATGCATTTTCTATATATACATGTAGGCCTGCAACCTACTTGTATGGTAGCCGGTATGTGACATGATGAAGTGTCTCCATACCCGTATGTCGACCAATAGTGCAAGGATTGTCTTGATCGAGACGAGAGAAAATATCTAGTAATCTATATAGTTTTTTCTCACAAGGAAATAGGTCGTATTCCCAAAAAGTACCTGGGGGCTAACAACATTAGTTTCCCAACCAACAACACCTTTCCATAACTACTAAACCGCGACCCAAACATATTTTGATTATGCATGTTAGTGTTTTGTTACCAATCGATAGGACCTCGTGCTAAAAATAAACACCATTTGAAAATATTATTGTATGCGACAAAACGAAAATAACCCGTAACCAAAAGATTGCCACAAAAACATATTTCGGACATTTGCTATTCAAACAACAAGAAAGCACCTCTCGGTTGTGAACTAACAAGGTATGACATTATTTCTAAAGAAAAATAAAAGGTGAAGCACTTTATTCATAATAGATATCATTGTCATGTGCACATGACGCAAAGACGCAAAGTTCACACACGTGCGCACGTACATGAAATTGAAGCTTTTCCGTGATTTCCTAGAATAAATATAGAAGCCTACTTAATTTCATGAGAGAATTTTAATTAAAAACACACCCGACCGTAATAGCAGTGACGTCATTCTAGTGATCGGTGACACGATATTAGAATATTATATCGGTTAATATCATCATTGATTTACTGAAACATTTCCATCCAACACGAGGGAATTCAAGTTATTGAAAGTTAAATGAAGACGGTTATAGAGATAGGAAACTAATAAAGAAAGATTAAAGTGGAAATCTGACGTTACTGGACTGCCAGGTCTGTACAACGCGTATCACGATTATATATTAGGATTTCACCAGAACAGTGAGTCATGTCAAACACACTTCTACATATATCTTCATGCGGGTATGATGCTCAACTGAAGCACACTCGCTCTTACACAGGCCGACCAAGGTTCGATTCCCTGATCGACATGACAATGTATTGAGTCATTATTCGAAATCAAGTAGTGAACACTACAATCTGTGAGTAAGCTCCAGTAGTGAACACTACAATCTGTGAGTAAGCTCCAGTAGTAAACACTACAATCTGTAAGTAAGCTCAGGTAGTGAACACTACAATCTGTGAGTAAGCTCCAGTAGTAAACACTACAATCTGTGAGTAAGCTCAGGTAGTAAACACTATAATCTGTGCGTAAGCTCAGGTAGTGAACACTATAATCTGTGAGTAAGCTCCAGTAGTAAACACTACAATCTGTGAGTAAGCTCCAGTAGTAAACACTACAATCTGTGAGTAAGCTTCAGTAGTGAACACTACAATCTGTGAGTAAGCTTCAGTAGTGAACACTACAATCTGTGAGTAAGCTCAGGTAGTGAACACTATAATCTGTGAGTAAGCTCCAGTAGTAAACACTACAATCTGTGAGTAAGCTCAGGTAGTGAACACTACAATCTGTGAGTAAGCTCCAGTAGTGAACACTACAATCTGTGAGTAAGCTCCAGTAGTAAACACTACAATCTGTAAGTAAGCTCAGATAGTGAACACTACAATCTGTGAGTAAGCTCAGGTAGTGAACACTACAATCTGTGAGTAAGCTCCAGTAGTAAACACTACAATCTGTGAGTAAGCTCAGGTAGTGAACACTATAATCTGTGAGTAAGCTCCAGTAGTGAACACTACAATCTGTGAGTAAGCTCATGTAGTGAACACTACAATCTGTAAGTAAGCTCAGGTAGTGAACACTACAATCTGTGAGTAAGCTCCAGTAGTAAACACTACAATCTGTGAGTAAGCTCCAGTAGTAAACACTACAATCTGTGAGTAAGCTCAGGTAGTAAATACTACAATCTGTGAGTAGGCTCCAGTAGTGAACACTACAATCTGTGAGTAAGCTCAGGTAGTGAACACTACAATCTGTGAGTAAGCTCCAGTAGTAAATACTACAATCTGTGAGTAAGCTCCAGTAGTGAACACTATAATCTGTGCGTAAGCTCAGGTAATAAATACTACAATCTGTGAGTAAGCTCCAGTAGTGAACACTACAATCTGTGAGTAAGCTCCAGTAGTGAACACTACAATCTGTGAGTAAGCTCCAGTAGTAAACACTATAATCTGTGAGTAAGCTCCAGTAGTAAATACTACAATCTGTGAGTAAGCTCCAGTAGTGAACACTACAATCTGTGAGTAAGCTTAGGTAGTAAATACTACAATCTGTGAGTAAGCTCCAGTAGTGAACACTACAATCTGTGAGTAAGCTCCAGTAGTGAACACTACAATCTGTGAGTAAGCTCAGGTAGTGAACACTACAATCTGTGAGTAAGCTCCAGTAGTGAACACTACAATCTGTAAGTAAGCTCAGGTAGTGAACACTACAATCTGTAAGTAAGCTTCAGTAGTAAACACTACAATCTGTGAGTAAGCTCAGGTAGTAAACACTACAATCTGTGAGTAAGCTTCAGTAGTGAACACTACAATCTGTGAGTAAGCTTCAGTAGTGAACACTACAATCTGTAAGTAAGCTCAGGTAGTAAACACTACAATCTGTGAGTAAGCTCCAGTAGTAAACACTACAATCTGTGAGTAAGCTCCAGTATTAAACACTACAATCTGTAAGTAAGCTCAGGTAGTAAACACTACAATCTGTGAGTAAGCTCCAGTAGTAAACACTACAATCTGTGAGTAAGCTTAGGTAGTAAATACTACAATCTGTGAGTAAGCTCCAGTAGTGAACACTACAATCTGTGAGTAAGCTCCAGTAGTAAACACTACAATCTGTGAGTAAGCTCAGGTAGTGAACACTACAATTTGTGAGTAAGCTCTATTAGTGAACACTACAATCTGTGAGAAAGCTCCAGTAGGAAACACTACAATCTGTGAGTAAGCTCAGGTAGTGAACACTACAATCTGTGAGTAAGCTCAGGTAGTAAACACTATAATCTGTGAGTAAGCTCCAGTAGTGAACACTATAATCTGTGAGTAAGCTCCAGTAGTGAACACTACAATCTGTGAGTAAGCTCCAGTAGTGAACACTACAATCTGTGAGTAAGCTCCAGTAGTGAACACTACAATTTGTGAGTAAGCTCCAGTAGTGAACACTACAATCTGTGAGTAAGCTCCAGTAGTGAACACTACAATCTGTGAGTAAGCTCAGGTAGTGAACACTACAATCTGTGAGTAAGCTCAGGTAGTGAACACTATAATCTGTGAGTAAGCTCCAGTAGTAAACACTACAATCTGTGCGTAAGCTCAGGTAGTAAACACTACAATCTGTGAGTAAGCTTCAGTAGTAAACACTACAATCTGTGAGTAAGCTCCAGTAGTAAACACTACAATCTATAAGTAAGCTCAGGTAGTGAACACTACAATCTGTGAGTAAGCTCAGGTAGTGAACACTACAATCTGTGAGTAAGCTCAGGTAGTGAACACTACAATCTGTGAGTAAGCTCCAGTAGTAAATACTACAATCTGTGAGTAAGCTCAGGTAGTGAACACTACAATCTGTGAGTAAGCTCCAGTAGTGAACACTACAATCTGTGAGTAAGCTCAGGTAGTGAACACTACAATCTGTGAGTAAGCTCAGGTAGTGAACACTACAATCTGTGAGTAAGCTCAGGTAGTGAACACTACAATCTGTGAGTGAACACTACAATCTGTGAGTAAGCTCAGTTTGTGATGAAAACGATGTCGCTTTTTATTATAGCTACAAGTATACAGAAAACATAGACAAAGTTAAAACATATGTAGGAACGTTATAGAATGAGCTCTAAGCATGATTCGTTTTGTGACAGTCAATTAAAAAATTGATTAAAACACCCATTGTTACGGGAAATTTAAAATAACGGCAAAATCTACTTTTCAAGATTCAATATTTTTTTCACTTTTATATCTACATTTTTATGTAGCAAATGATACGAGGTTATCATTAATCCTGTAATCAACATACGTAGCGTAGGCTGCAGTTGATCTCTGGAGAAAGATGAATTAGATATATATAATTTAAAATGATAAAAAAAACTTTGTGTATCGTATATACTCTATATACAGTGACGAAGCGTAGGTGTTACATGCTGGCCTATTACTCTCTCTCTCTCTATATATATATATGTATATCGGCTGCATTATGCTTTAACATCATCACAAAGTTGAACCCTTAATGGAAAGCCGACACACTATCTAAAGATTTAAATTGCTTACATCAATAACACATCAATGATTTATAAATGTTTAACAGACCTCTGTGAAAAGTACACTGGAAAAACTCGATCTCGATACTGTGTGAACAGTGATCTTAGTGTTTATCTCCAAGAGACGAATCCTCCCCACCGCTCCCTCATCCCCCCATCCCCCGCCAATTTCCATCTCCTCCGCTCCCTCATCCCTCGCCAACTTCCATCCCCTCCGCTCTCTCACTCCCATCCCCCGCCAACTTCCATCCCCACCGCTCCCTCACCCCCCCCCCCCCCATCCCCGCCAATTTCCATCTCCTCCGCTCCCTCATCCCTCGCCAACTTCCATCCCCTCCGCTCCCTCACTCCCATCCCCCGCCAACTTCCATCCCCACCGCTCCCTCACCCCCCCATCCCCCGCCAACTTCCATCCCCTCCGCTCCCTCATCACCCCCCATCCCTTGCCAACTTCCATCCCCTCCGCTCCCTCACTCCCATCCCCCGCCAACTTCCATCCCCACCGCTCCCTCATCCCCCATCCCCCGCCAATTTCCATCTCCTCCGCTCCCTCATCCCTCGCCAACTTCCATCCCCTCCGCTCTCTCACTCCCATCCCCCGCCAACTTCCATCCCCACCGCTCCCTCACCCCCCCCCCCCCATCCCCGCCAATTTCCATCTCCTCCGCTCCCTCATACCTCGCCGCCAACTTCCATCCCCTCCATCCCCACCGCACCCTCATCCCCCCCAAACTTCCATCCCCTCCGCACCCTCCCCCCCATCCCCCGCCAACTTCCATCCCCACCGCTCCCTCACCCCCCCATCCCCCGCCAACTTCCATCCCCTACGCTCCCTCCCCCCCCCAACTTCCATTCCCACCGCACCCTCATCCTCCCCCCCAACTTCCCTCCCCTCCGCACCCTCCCCCCCCATCCCCCGCAACTTCCATCCCCAACGCTCCCTCATACCCTCCATCCCCCGCCAACTTCCATCCCCTCCGCTCCCTCATCCCCTCCATCCCCCGCCAACTTCCTTCCCCACCGCTCCCTCATCCCCCTATCCCCCCATCCCCCAAAAACTTTCATTTCCACCGCTCTCTCATCCCCCATCCCCCGCCAACTTCCATCCCTTGCGCTCCCTCATCCCCCACCAACTTCCATCCCCACCGCTCCCTCACCCCCCATCCCCCGCCAACTTCCATCCCCTACGCTCCCTCCCCCCCCAACTTCCATCCCCACCGCACCCTCATCCTCCCCCCCAAACTTCCCTCCCCCCATCCCCCGCAACTTCCATCCCCAACGCTCCCTCATCCCCTCCATCCCCCGCCAACTTCCATCCCCTCCGCTCCCTCATCCCCTCCATCCCCCGCCAACTTCCTTCCCCACCGCTCCCTCATCCCCCCATCCCCCAAAAACTTTCATTTCCACTGCTCCCTCATCCCTCATCCCCCACCAACTTCCATCCCCACCGCTCCCTCACCCCCCCCCCCCAATCCCCCGCCAACTTCCATCCCCACCGCTCCCTCATCCTCCCCCCATTGCCCGCCAACTTCCATCCCCTGCGCTCCCTCATCACCTCCCATCCCTTGCCAACTTCCACCCCCTCCGCTCCCTCATCCCCCCCCCATCCCCCGCCAACGTCCATCCCCACCGCTCCCTCATACCTCGCCAACTTCCATCCCCTCCGCTCCCTTCCCCCCCAACTTCCATCCCCACCGCTCCCTCATACCTCGCCAACTTCCATCCTCTCCGCTCCCTTCCCCCCCAACTTCCAGCCCCACCGCTCCCTCATCCTCCCATCCCCCGCCAACTTCCATCCCCTCCGCACCCTTCCCCCATCCCCGCCAACTTCCATCCCCACCGCTCCCTCACCCCCCATCCCCCGCCAACTTCCATCCCCTCCGCTCCCTCATCCCCTCCATCCCCCGCCAACTTCCATCCCCTCCGCTCCCCCATCCCCTCCATCCCCCGCCAACTTCCATCCCCCCCGGTCACCCTTGCCCTCCATCCCCGACAACTTCCTTCCCCACCGCTCCCTCATCCCCCCATCCTCCACCAACTTTCATCCCCACCGCTCCCTCATCCCCCCATCCCCCGCCAACTTTCATCCCCACCGCTCCCTCATCCTCCCCCCATTCCCACCAGCTTCCATCCCCTGCGCTCCCTCATCCCCCCATCCCTTGCCAACTTCCATCCCCTGCGCTCCCTCATCCCCCCATCCCCCAACCAACTTTCATCCCCACCACTCCCTCATCCCCCCATAAAGATACTCATTTTAAGAAATCAAAACGGTGAAGCTTGCTTATCTATTTACTTTTTTATATTTTCAATTGTAAACACATGTAATCAAAGTAGTTTCATATATTAAGTACATTAATAGTTTAAATAATGTTTTTATTCAATAATTAAAAAAAAACACAAAGGAAAATCAACATGTCGACATAATCATAATCCAAAACCAAGATAAAAAAACTAGGACAAAATATGAACAAACATGTCCTACAACACGATATTAGGATATTTACCGTGTACTGTGGTCGGATTTGGCTACTTTAAGTGCATTTGAAGAAAGAATACTAATCTTGACGGTGATCATACATTTTAGAGATTCACACAGGGTTTTCCGTGTTGTAGACTTTAAAACCGACCTGCCCTTAAACAACGACTGTGGAGTTCAGTACCTTTCTCCTTGTATAAATATATACTATTTTTATGAAAGAACTATACACGCATGCGCCTGTGCTTAATCTGTGTACGATACGTACTATGACAGTTACCGGTATATTTATCAAGGAAACTATCTATCTGGTAATTTTATATATGTATGACCTGTTTGTGGCAATAACGTTTAATTCATTTATGGTGTCTGTGTGTAGTAACTTCGAACCTGAACGACAGGCCAGCCTGTTTGGAAAATATTCATCCCCAACTTGGGACTTGATTTAGTCCCGGTCGCCTGAGCTTTCTGTGAATGACTCCAGTATTTGTAAAGTGATATCATAAAATATTTCACAAAATGTTGTGGAACATCATACATAATCATAGAAGAAAATGCTCGTAGACTTAACGAGTTATTTCTATATAGCTTATATATTTCTAAATGGCGGTAAGGCGGCATATAAGATTTCAATATAAAATAACAATTTTCACTTTTAGGAAGGATCTACAACGATGTGAAGCTAGGTAACACTATTTTTGCACAATAATGTACATATACTTCAAAAACATTAATTTTCGCGAGGGATTTTTTTCGCTAGTTTCGTTTGTACTCTTAAACCACGAATTTAAATGTCAACGAAATGATAATAGAAATTTAGAACTAGTGGAGTACTGCTTATCAACGAAATAAAGCATCAACGAAATGGGTTTTTTTAAAAAGGAGAAAATCTGGTACCTCGAAAATATCTGATTTCTCAGTATATCAGTGTACAAAACCAAATGAATGTTTTATTCATTCGTTCTTCTGTCTTCTTGTCTGATCTAAATCGAAAAGCGTTAAAGTCAGTCAGGTACAAGATGTTAGTAAATGAACTACATACATTGTATATATATATATATATATAGGTAAAAAGGAATAATAAATTACGTCTTACGACCACATAGCGTAAATCAGGCTAGTGCAAAACTACAAACTCGTGTCTGAAGGAATGAATATTAATACGGGTGGTGTTCCACACACAAGTACAATCTCTGCTCAAGATGTCTCTTTCTGGATATTCCATGTGTTGTATCATCTTTTGAGTGTTTAGATACTTTGAAAGGAAAAGTATAACACATGTTGAAATGAATTTTTAAAAATCTTAGCATTACATGGTTTTAACTTTTCATTTTAAATGGATTTTCCCCAATGTGTTGTCAATATTCAGATTAATATCTGTTACTACACAGACTCGCAAAAAGTGTAGAACAGAACAATTATATATAGGTAGACTGGTAATGTATACAAGCTAGAAAACGGAAAACGCATAAGAGTTTCAGAACTCTGGTTTTCAGTTTCAGAATTCCGTTTTACAGTTTCAGAACTCCATTTTACTTGAAAGGTTGGTAAAACTTCGATGTAAACTCCGATTTGTTTAAAGCGATATGACCAGACACCATAGTGCAATCTTCCTGACATAATTTTTCATGAATGACTTTAAAATCACAATAGGCAAGTGAAAACAACTTGTTAAAAAGTCTCGTACGTTTTCAAGTGTCTTCAATACAACCCTTTAAAGGAACATACATCCGTGATCAGCCTGAAGTTGTATGACAAAAATCAAAACAAGTCATATTATGAAATGTATTGAACCAAACAGGCGGGCTGCTGAAAACAATAAACCCTGGTTTTCGATTTGTTATTTACCTAAATCTATACAGCACTTAACTTCTGATGGCACAGTCACTAGATTCACGTGAAACTCTCTTACATACATAATTACATAAGATAATTACCTAAACGACGACAACATACAGAACGTGGTTGGCCTACCGGAACCGGTGTTACCAGAAAAACACAACCGGTGTACATCAAGATAATTACTTCCTGTATGTTTCCTGATTACAGATATAACCATTCTCGACTTCTCCGGGCATCTGACGAAGTTGCCATGATAGGATCTGAACTAAACTGCAGTGAAAGGTAATCAGATGTTACCAATATAAATGGGTAAACATTTCTTACAACGAGAAATACCTTATTGAGGCCTTCGTAGGAAGTGGACAAAGAAACATATTGAACCCCAGGTTACCTTCGCCGCATTAGTGGCCAAACTCGGGTCAAACTACGCGCCGGTTTTCGTCCAAATCTTTCACCTCAATAGAGAACGATATCAGCGAACACGTATTTCTCTAAAGTGATTCGAAAATGGTTGACGTGAAAAAGGAAACGCGTCTTCAACACTGATTTATCGTTATAATAAAGAACGAAGTAAACATTCAAATGATTGCGAATTGAAAAGCAATAAAAATCTTGAATAAGACAAGTGCTGTATTAGGCGAGTAAGTACGGTTAAACCTGAATTTCACATCTGTCGGTCGTTAAACTGAATGCGTCTTTTCTATGTTAACGGTACATGATTTGGTACCATATTCAGTTAACAAATGTAAAAAAACAAATGCGAAATGTGTGTTTAATCGAAAAGGACGATAGGAATTTAGGAAGAAAAAAAAACCTTCAACAAAGACACAAGCATATTATGAACAACAGGAGAAATTTTAAATAGTTCCCAACACCATTGTTTAGGAGCAGATACTATTCCTGCCGAGCAAAGACGTAATTGGTTTCGGTTCCGGGAAATGAAGATACGCTACAGATCCAGTTAAGTATTTATATAGTAGGAACAGAATAATCATTCTTGTTTACCTTTCATAATCATACTGATTAAATATGATTCGATATTACTGTAATACCATAAGACAAATCACTGGAAGATAATGACAATTAAGACTGGGCTTAATGCAGATTACAAATACCAGGTAAGCGGAGCCTTGCCCAGACCAAATGTGTAACCCGTCCTGATTTTTCAGCATGAACACGTCTGAACATTTCAGTAGTACAATATAACAGACCAGTCATATTTACCTACATCAATACAGATCATTTTAGAAAATCCCACACTGTTCGAACGCCTACTGATTGGCAACATTTTGACTACAATGAAAGAGTGATTTTACCAGGTTATTGAACGCAAACTCCGTGTTAAAATCATTATGACCACTGTAGAGTAAAAACAACTATCAGTAACGTATTTACAGCAATTTATGCACTATACAAGTTGTTTGTCAATATTGACAGAGTGGATATTGATATATGTATATATAGGTTAGTGAACAAAGAATCGGCTATTCATAAACGTTATACAGATACATACCTGTTCATCATCAACTCATAGATATTGCTTCACTAACGTTAAATTCAAATTAGGATATTTTTTGTTGCAGATTTTGTTTACACATTTACAGAAAATGTGACAGGCCATGAAAATGGTGTATATGATGATACGAATGGCAGAAGCGCTACTCGATACAGATCTGAGTACCCAGCTTTAAACGTACATCTGACACGCTTTTGCTATGAAATAAGAATATTTTTTATAAACTGAACCCGATAGAAATAATGAAATTATTGTGCCTAGATCTGTAAACTAAATGGTGATCTTTAGACATAATGATGCGATGCTCTTTAATTAAACAAAAAAAAGTTATTGAAAGGCTCCAGGGGGAGTCGAACCCTCGACCTCCAGTTTACTAGACTGGCGCTCTAACCAACTGAGCTATGGAGCCACGCGTTCTGCTTTAATTAAACCGTTCGCAATCATGTTGAATATAATTATGACGTCAAATCCAGACGTAAAAATACTCATAACATCATACTCGATACTCAACAGGTTAGGTCATCTGACCCGGAAGCTCATGATGACCTGAATATTTCATATCTAACAATTAAATGAAGGAATGTATTCATACAAGCAATTCAAAGCCATCAAGCTTCGTCGTTTTGACATTTCAAACTTCTTCTCAAGTTCCACATGTGGGATTGCGCTCAAAGTTGTCTGAAATGATCCTGAGAGGGTCCTTACCAAGTGTTGTTATTTTTCGAATATGTCTGAAATCCAAGATGGCCGCCATGACCGCCATCATTTTTATTGATCTCCAACTTTACAGTCACAAAATAAGTTACACTTCATATAGTTACCTACTCATCATCAAAACTACATCTGCACCATGGAAAACAGCTTCTAATTAGATTTCATTCAAACTAGAAAAAATAACCCTTCTCCCCGCTGAAAGTATTTGACCATTAAGGCCCATGGGCCTCTTGTTCGTTTGTTTGTTTGTTTGTTTCTTTCTTTCTTTCTTTCTTCCAAAACATTCCTTTTGTCGCCTTTCTCCTAACAACCAAATTATGTATGTACAATGTACCTAGGGCTACGCGTTTCCAGACAGTTCATGATAGGAAGTATAGATATATGAGAAAGTGAATAAAACCCATCGACTTCTCTCTGAAGTCCCTTAAATTGTATTATATTTTATTGTATTCGCAATAAAACATCAGCGATGTCTGGTCTGGTAGATCTGTTCTTGACGCAAACATTTAGACACCATGGATATTATCAGAACTCGAACAGACGGAATATACATTACTATTTAATCTTGATGATTTTTGTTTTCGAAATCAATATATACTTTCACATACAATTAATTATTAACACACGAGACAATGATAACATCTAAATGGAATTGTACCAAATAAACAATTGCTAGTTTCAGTTTCCTCTTAGTACAATTATCAGAACATTATGCATTATTGATAA